AGTTGGCTTCGCCTATTACTTCGGCTCCGAAAGAAGACGGATCTTTGTGACTGTGCACTGATTACCTAATCTTAAATTGCCAAACAGACATATTTTTTTTTCTGATGCCCAGCATTGATGAAATAATTGAAGAAAGCAGAGGTTGTAAAGTATTTTCTCGTATAGACCTCTGCAAAGTATTTTGGCAGATTCCGCTGGAAGTGAAATACAAAATGTACACGGCTTTTGTCACACCATTTGACGTGTACGAATATAATTACCTTTCGGATGGAAAAACAGTGCGGCATGGTTTCGAAAGACGATGAATAGTATTCTCAAACTATTCCATGGATTATTCTGCAATGTATACGTAGACAATATTATAATATATTCAAAGGATGAAACATCACATGCAGAACACTTTTTGTCTGTTTGATGGCATTGAGGGATGCCAAACTGAAAGTGAACTTTTAAGAAAATGAACTTTTTACACAGAAAATTGCATTTCTCAGACGCAGTTTCAACGGCTTTACAAAGAGTGCGAACAAAGAGCCCGTACAACGTGTACGATCGATGAAGAAGCCAGACAATGTACACGCAGTCAGTGTTTCTTGGCCTTGCAGGACATTTTAGAAACTACATAAGAGATTTTGCAGCACGAGCAAAGCCGCTAAACAGCTTGCTTCGTAAAGACAGATTTCATCTGGACGGAAGAGGGTGAGAGGGCGTACAATGATTTCGCATTAGCCATATCATCGAACCCAGTACTCACTATTTGACTTCACTGTTCCATTTGAACTCGCAACGGACGCACCAAACTATGGTGCAGGTGCTGTGCTGTACCAACGAAGAGACACAAGTGGAAGCGAAAGAGGAAGACAAGTGATAAAATATTACTTTTACACTTTCACGAAGTCGGAACAAAATTAGAGCATGACTGAAAAAGAATTGATTGATTGATTGATTGATTGATTGATTGATATGTGGCGTTTAACGTCCCAAAACCACTATATGATTATGAGAGACGCCGTAGTGGAGGGCTCCGGAAATTTCGACCACCTGGGGTTCTTTAACGTGCACCCAAATCTGAGCACACGGGCCTACAACATTTCCGCCTCCATCGGAAATGCAGTTGTCGCAGTCGGGATACGAACCCGCGACCTGCGGGTCAGCAGCTGAGTACCTTAGCCACTAGACCACCGCGGCGGGGCAACTGAAAAAGAAGCATTGGCTGTTGTACTGAGGATTAGGTATTTTCCATCGTACCTAGAAGGCACGAAATTCAAGCTGTTCACTCATCAGGCTCTTATCTATTTGCTAAATGGTTCTCAACCGAGAGGCCGAGTCGCTAGATGCATAAGCGAAATTCTACAGTTTAATATTGACATTGCACACAGAAGCGGACAAGATTTGTCAGACGCTGACGTCTTTTCTCAGCTTCCAATTGTTAATCACATTACGGGCGACGAGAGGGTGTATTCACAAATACGGGGAGGCACTGAACAGCTGATGTATATAGACAGAAAGTTTCATGTACAGGATACTCTGAGAAAAAGACTTCTTGACCTTCATCACGACAGTCCAGAGCCAGGAGGGCATGACGGCTTCTGGCGGACGTACTATAAAATGAGGAGAGGATTTGCGTGGCCCGGCATAAAGAAATGTATTAGCAATTACATTACCTCATGCCAGAAATGTCAACAAAGCAAAATATAAACAAAAGACAGACAGCATGATATTTCCAACTTACTCAACTGTTGTGTTTGAAAATGTGCACGTTGATTTTGCTGAACTGAAAAAACGAAGTGAAGGAATGAAGAAAACGAAATTTTTTTTTTAGTGTGCATTGATGAATGCTCACGGATGCTAGTTGCCAAGCCAGGAAAAGAAAATGCCGCTTCTGTCATATTACTCTTGAGCAGAGACATGTTTAAGGGGTGAAGTGTGTCGTGTCCGACAATGGATCCAACGGATCCGCATTCAAGAGCCAGACATTCGTAAAGTGGGCAAAAGAAACAAACATTGCCCTGAAGTTTACACCCCCTTGCCACCCATCAGCTTACGGACTAGCGGAGCATGTTACCCAAAATGTCCAACAATATATAAGTATGTACCTAGAATTTCGAGGAGGGTGGAAATGTTGCCTCCAAGGAGCTATGTTGCACCACAACAGGTCACATACAACCGCTCTTTGGTGCAGCCCTCAATACGCCGCCTTCGGGGAACCTGCTTGTTTACCTGCGGATGACACACATGGCATAGCAAAAAAGCTTCGCTTGAAAGAAACGAAGGAAACTTCTGACCAGCAAAAGAAGCACAGAGAAGCTATGAAGAGAGCATTTGATAAACGTCATAGCGCAAGTATTCGCGCTATAGCACTAGGTATTGTGGTTCTAGTGCGGCAAGGTTATGGTGGTACTAACACAAAACTTGTGGGTCCCTTTATAGCGATGAAACTGGTCACGAAAGAAGGAGTGCTGAAGACCATCGGCTACACGACGAAACATGGTGTGATGGAAATAGCATCAGTTTCCAACGTCATCTCATATTTGGAGCGGAGGGATGGAGTAAAGGCCGGGAGAGTGTAGTGGGCCGGTACTACGAATGGCTGATTTGGTGGGTACGGGGGAAGAGGAAGAAGAAGAATAAAGGGATTATGCTTTCGGTCTATGCCCGCTTGTCGTGGAATGTTAGAATCTTCAGCATACGACCCGTGCGGAATGCTGTGTGAGGTTGCTTGTCCGATATCTGGAGATGCAGCATTATTGGTCTGGCGACATAGCCCAAGCCCTGGCGTCGGCATGTTAGGCTTATGTGATACAGCTACGCAAGCATCATATCTCGTTAATAACGACAAAACGTACTTGATGCTTCATCCTAAAAGTAAGATGACACAAATCAGTGTCTGATTTTGCCATTTATTTGTTGATGTCAGCACTGTGGGAGGTTAGAAGGAGCAAGTTCGGATCGAAGCGGGCGGTCGCTTCTGCATGGGTGCTGCCATGTTAATTTGTAATCAGACTTAGCGCTGGTAACCGAAACAAATAACCAAACGCGTAGGAAATAAATGCGATCAAGAAAAACGTACTGCGTATTGATGTGGCGTAACAAAAACCAAATAAATGCCAATTTTAGACAATCCTGCCAATTTCAAAGCACTTATATCTGGAACTACGCATGTTTTACTGCGCAAGCGTGTAGCTTTCTTACACCACGTAGCTTTCATAGTGCTGCACCAAGGCGGTGAAACAGAGTATAGACGTGCGTGTATGTGCCGCATAATTGTGAGTACTAGTATGATCGCCGATGTCTAAAAAAGTTACTGCCAATTATTTGGAGCAGCAAATGGCATTTCTGCTGCCCTAAATAAAAACTTGTGCGCCGCTTAGTTTTTTTGTTTTTTTTTGTCACCGCTACTGCTCGGTTTTACAAATCTCCTGAAGTCGCCAGCTTGGCAGATCAGCATTTGATTTCACTGAGTCTGTCGAACGATTCGACAGGCGCGGCAAATGCTAATGTTGACTTCATTGTTTGCTCACTGGGCTAATTCAGAATACTACTTCAATTGTAATAGGAGTGTTCATGTTCACTCTGCACGATTTAGGAAGGTTAAATGTTTTGTGCATATATATATTTATATACATATATAGATAATTTATATATTCTAAATGTAAGCGTTTTTTTTTATACTGCTCCAAGTTTGGTCTTGTCATGATAAAAAATTGTTTTCTCTCATAACCTGCTCGTACACCAAATTATATTTTCACTGTTGCACCCCTGGACAGGAAAGACCCATTTGAGCATCTTTACTACCAAGTGCTTCCTTCCTTTTCCCTTGTGCGCTCATATACACTCAAACCTCGACATAACGAGACTGGATATACCGAAATATCAGTTTTAACAAGGTGAATGAAGAATATCCTTGCAGTAGATCTAGTGTTGCAAATATACCTTTAGACAACGAATGTTGGATATAACAGATTTATTTTCATGTGCGATGCAACTTTGTTATAATGAGGTTTAAGTGTATTTCCACATTACTGAAAAGTTGTCTGTAGGGCTATTGTTACAACGATTTGAGGTCACGAGACAGTTCGCATTCTTTTTTCTAACTTTTTGAACATGCTGTCTTTGTTGCTTTCCTCATATGTCGGCATGTCCATTTTTTGGTTGTACTAGTAGTAGCAGTAGGATGACTGAGTAGCCAGACTAGGGAACTCTTTGAAGGTCCCCGAAAGAATGTCTCACCTGTAGAGCGCGAGTAGCATGACTGAGTGGAAAGTGCTGGTGTCTGGCTGTACCTTATCTTCTGGCTTTCATCTACAGGTTTTTTTGTGTGCAGCGTTGTACTGTATTTACTCAAGTGTAACGTGAGATATTTTCAAGATTTTTGCTGCCTAAAGTGTGCCCTTGCATTACATTTGAATGCCAAAATACACATGAAATACCTATCGTTTCTTTCTGGCCACAATGAGTCTCCCCTCATGTGATAATTGTGGTCGCATCACAGTCGAGTAAATATGGTATTCCCGAGTTGTTGCCATCTGTAGGGTGCTGCTGAAAAAGAATTTCGTATCTCTTGTGCTTATAAGCTCATCTCACATGCTTGAACCATTTCACGTTGAACAGAAAGCCTCTATTTTTTTATTTTTTTTTCGGTTTAGGTTTGGTTCAAGTTCAGGTGCATTCTGAGAATATTGATTGAGGTTCAGTTCGGACTGAAATTTTGCTTTGGGTACGGTTTACAGCTTAGATTGTTTATCTCCTTGGTTGCATCACTGTAGGAAAGCAAGCACATTAATGCATATCCACTTTGAATTTACGCCAAGCTGATAGAATCGCTGAGGCTGTGTGAATATTTAAAAACTGTGTTGGGAGGGAGCTGTTCGAGGAATAAAATCTGTGGCAGAAGCGTTCATGGAGGATATATTCAGGTCCCAGCTGCGCTGTATGTGATGTGGTTGTCGGTGTAGTTTAGGATTGTTACAATAATAAGCCCCATGTGTGTTGCTTCTCTGCAGCAATTGAGCTGTCGCTGAGGGACTCTCCCCCAAAGAACAGTGTTACTGGCGGGGGAGGAGGGCTGTACCCCCGTGCCCCATCGCCTGTCCTCTCTCCCGAGAGCAACTCTTCTTCAGCTGTGGTGCAAGGGGTGCCCCGTGAGCCACGCAAGGTCCGAGCCCTGTATGACTTTGAGGCTGCTGAGGACAACGAGATCACCTTCAAGACGGGCGAGCTACTGCTTGTGCTCGACGACAGGTGGGTTGCCAACTGTGGCAGACATCTTGCATGACTGCTCGATCTCTGCAGCCCGATTATGTGGGCAGTGAAATAACCACTCCCAATAGTTTCACTCTTGTGAGGCGCATTTGGCCAGATTGTTTAGGTTCTCTCCATCGCCCAAAGGATACCATTCTATAAATACAGTATAGACCACTTATAACGTAACCACTTATAGTGCGGGACCGGATATAATGCAGTCATTTCACACTACCGTTGATTCTCCCATTGAACCTTATGTATACGCATATCGCTTATAGTGCAGTCGTGGGAGGTGATCTACCGGTTACAGTGTAGATGCCTCGAAGTCCGGCAGACAACCGTTATGACGAATGCCTCAACGGGGTGTGTTGCGTGTTCCGAGAAGCGCTGGCGAAAAAGAGAGAGAGCCGAGGTCGTAGTGCAAAGGAAAAGGGTGTGCTGAGTGAACGAGCGAAAGAGTAAAAAGCAGGTGTAGGGAAGACTTACGCATGCTTGCACGGAGCACTCTTATTGGGCGATATTCGAAACCACGTGGCGTTTTCTCTGCCAGTGTGTGTCCTCGTCGTCTTTGTCGCGTTTTAGGTTGGCCCGTAAACCTCGCTTGCCTCGCTTTGTTGTGTTGTGTGTATGTTGCTTCTCCAGATTGATTGGTGTCCAAGCCTACTTTTCTTCACGACCACGTGCTTTCGATGGCTTCGTCGGCTTCGTCCACACCTGCAGGCGTCGGCAAACGGCAAGCCGTTTTACTGAAAACGAAGGTCACCATAGTGAAAGAAGTTGAGAAGGGCAACAAGAAAGCTGCTGTGGTGGCAAAATATGGTATAGCGGATATCAATATCACCGTGTCAGCGATTTGGAAAAACTGTGACAAGGTACGACAGTAGCAGGGCGTGAATTCTGCTGCATCGTCCAGGAAAAGGACACGCACTTCGAAGAACGAGGATGTTCACGCTGTTTTATTCTGGTGGTTCAAAGAAGTGCATGCTCAAAACGTGCTGATTAGTGGGCCGATTTCGCAATCAAAGGCCAAGTGCTTTGCCAAGCTTTTAGGCCACGATGACCCCTTAAATGGCTAGATCCAGGGTTTTAAGGATCGCCATGGAATAAGCTGTCGGGTTATTTCTGGCGAAAGAGGTGAAGTTAATCACTCCACAGTTCAAACGTGGCTGAACATGAATGTCGAGGGTATGTTTCTGTCCGATGCAGACCGCGACATGTACAACACCAACGAAACTGGACTGTTGTACAACCTACTGCCAAGTCATACACTTTGAATGAGAGGGGAGCCCTGCAGTGGGCATAAGGCAACGAAGGAGCGCGTAATGGTTTTGTTCTGCGCCGACCTAGATGGGTAGGACAAGCACCGCTCGCTTGTGATTGGGAAGTGTGCGCGGCCGCGTTGCTTCTTCCAGTGACGTACAAAGGCTGACCCAAGACTTGTTGATTGAATAGCTGCAAAGAATTGATGAGGAGATGGTGACGCAAAAGCGCAGTGTTGTTATCATAATGGCAGGGTTGCAACAGCTGTGCCAATTGCGCCAATATTATACAAGTCCCCATTTTTGGGCCGAGCTGTGCCGAAACCATGAAAGTTGCTGAAATTGCGCTATGCTGCACCAAAATACCCAACCAGCCTCAATATTTTCTCATTTGTGCTGATTTCAGTGAAAAATGGAGGCCACTTTGCCCACCAACAGTTTGAGTAATCAATCAATTCAAGCGCGCCAAGGGACCAAGCGCACGTGTGGCTTTAAAGGGTCCGTAAACCACATCAGATATTTTTTCAAGTAAACGCGCGCATTGTGTGCAGATGCCGTCTCGATCAACGATTCTACACGTGGCAGCGCTAAGAGCTGCCGGCGCGCCACAAATTCCAAGTAACAATCAATCCCTCTTTCTGGGCCTTTCGGGCCTCTGCGTGACGTGCTAAGCCACATCTCTGACGTGCCGAGCCAAATATGCCAAATATGCTGTGATTGTTCAAACAAGAGCCTACGACTTCCGGTCAGTTTGCAAGCAGCTGTTCATTGTGTTGTCATTCTTTGAAGGTGAGCGCGAAACAGAGGGTCCATACCGGCACGATTACGGCAGCCACGGTTCACCAAGAAGCAGGCAGCTACAACGCAACTGACGAAGTCAACGACTGGAGTCGCGGCAACCAGAAGTAGACGGTGCTTCAAGCAGCACGTCAGCGATGATGTATGCCATGCGAGATTGGTAGGAGCATGGGAAGGGCACTCTCCGAGAGGGCAAAGTGGTGTGGAAGAGAGAAGCGCAGGAGAGAGTGAAACGTGTGGTTGTCACGGTTTTGATAATCAAACTCTTCTAACTCTGCTATTACTGCATTGTCCCAAAAAACTCTCACGGCTCTGTGTTTGTCGTACATTCATGCACGATTTCCCCACCACAACTGAATTTAGACTGCTTGATGATTTACGGGCCCTTTAAGTCACAGTAACCTAATCATGCTAACCTTAATCCCATTAAGTCAGGGCACTTGTGAGACGGGATTGACCAGATGAAGTAACAAAGCTGTGCGCCAATCAGTTTGCCGACTGCAACGAATACCTATCGATGGGACGACGCAACTTCAAGACAAAAATGCGCTGCTGTAGCCATGAACGCTTTGCGAAAATATGAACTTCCTAGTTGGCAGAAGCAGCTATAGCATGTTAGCAACTAGAGCTGAAAACGCATACCGCGTTTTCTGCGTGCCAACAGAGTCGACGTGCTGCGAACGCCGGTGTTGCTGGCGACAATGTTGGTCACCGTAGCAACGACACATAAAACATTTTTGTGTCTTAGATATCTGCTGCTGTCGCTGGACCAAGGGGTGTGCGCCGCTGTTACTTTATCTGGCAGAACTTGCCTTGCAAGTGAGCTAAAATTTTTGCCCTTAACCTAATCACCATCGTAAAAAAAGGAAAGGGGGGCATAACGCAGTTCGAAAATTTCTTGCCCTTGTTCTAACCCGTGCAGAACGCTGCCATAGGCACCTTTGCTGCAATACACCAGTACCCTGCAGAAACACATATTTATGATTTGGAAGGGGCTGTGAGCACTAGTATGATCGCTGACGTCTCAGAGTTACTGGCAATCATTTTGAGCAATGTAAAACACTTCTGCTGCCCCCCCCCACCCCCCCAAAAAAAAAAATTAGCTTTTTTTTTTTTCCACCCCGATTTCTCACTTTCACGAATCCCTTAAATTTCAAGGTCGCCAGAGTGGCAGATCTACATTCTAGTTGCGTATTTTGTGGAAGGACTTGACTGATGTGGCAAGTACAAATGTGGACTTTATCATTCCTTTCTCAGTGGGGTAGATTGAAATACTAGTTTTACTGAAACAGCAGTGCTCATGTTTACTCTGCATGATTTAGGTAATGTTGAATCCCTTGCAAATATTTCAAAATGAAGGTGCTTCATGCCAACACCACTGCGAAGAGCCAGCCGCTTAATCAAGGTGTCATAGCAACTGTGAAGGCTCTGTACAAGAAGTGCATATGCAAGAAGGTTCTGCTGAACTTGCAGTGGAAGGAACCTCTCAAAGTGGATCGGAGAGCAGCTATTCATATAACAGCCTCGTGGTGGAAAGTGCAGCCATGTACAATAAAAAATGCTTTCAAAAATCGGGTTTCATCTGCGATTGCTCTACCGATGTGCCCGCTGACGACAACGACGAACCAGTCTGCATGGACAAGGTGTGGTCAGATTTTGTCAATAACCACATTGTGCCAAAAACCGACACTTTTGAAGACTTTTTGGTGACATCAATGATGACGCAGATGTGTGCGAGAAGGCTGCAACTGATGAAGACATCATTGCAGTAGTCCGGGGTGACAACAAGGCTGCACTCGAGTCCACTCCGATCAAGGATGATGACAATCCAGACTTGCCGTGCAAGGAGGCACTGGAGTACCTGAACAAACAGAAAGGGTTTTGCACCGCAAACAAGCTAACAAACAAGGCTCTCCAACGCCTATGTGCTCTTGAGGACGAAGTGATAGTTAAAGCCATCAACAAGCAGCGGCAAAGTGAAATACAGGCATATTTTTGTCCATAGGGAATGTAATTAAAGGCGTTTTGTGAAACCCCTTTCAGTTTTTTCAGCTTCACATGAATGGCGTTTGAAATGACAGGGCCTGGGATGTGCACAAACGGGTAACCTTTTATGTTTATAAATGGACTACAAATGCTCCCACGGCGTTGTGCGATCGTCGATTACCCGTTACTGCGCAGCACACTTGTTTATTTATTATTTATTTTATTGAGAAATACTGCAGGCCAATACTATGGCTTAAGCAGGAGGGGCATTACAACTTGAGTCAACAAAAGAAAATATATACATGCGAATACATTGCAACACGAAATGAACTTAATGTATCAAAAAGAAGCGGCAATAATTGCTATATATAACAAGACCTTAAAAATTACTGTTATGGTTATAGTGCGGTACCGCCTAAAGTGCAGTCATCAGCAACTCCGATGACCTACGTTATAAGCAGTCTACACTGTATACTGATGTATCAGTATTGGCCGCGAGGGCCTCCTCTGGAGAGGCCGGTGCTGCAATCGTTCCGACGTCACAGATGAGATGCTTTTGCTCGCCTTGCTGCATAGTTGTTGTGGAACGGGCTGTGGATCGGGGGAAATTGTGGTATGTGGCATTGAGTTGAAGCCTAATTTGGCTAGCTGGAGATACTATTGCCGTATAAGCAGTGCTAAGGTGTGCACAAGCAGTGTCTAATAATTATAAAATTATGTCAAAGGTTTTACGTCCTAAAACAACAATATGATTGTGGGACGTTATTGTAAGAGGGCTCTGTAAATTTCAACCATGTGGTGCTCCTTAATGTGTGTTGACATTGACAGTATGCGGGCCTCTAGCATTTCGCCTTTATCGAACTGAGACTGCTGCAACCGAAATCAAACCTGCGACCTTCGGTCAGCAGCCGAGCACCACAACCAGTACACCATCGCGACGGACTACTAGCAGCT